TTTTAAAACAAACAAATTGACAAATCATTGCGAAATTAGATAAAACATCATTACTGAAATTAGTATCTTTGTTTACACGAATTTTGTTGCACTTTTTCTAAATGTTAATTATGGTTTTTAAATTGTTAAAATGTGAATTTAATTATAATCTGTTGAAATGAAGTCTGTTGAACCAAGAGTTATACTGTAATTGGGCCAAGGAAAGCACAACACCATCTCAAAAATAAGTGGAAAAGACTCCAACATGCCTTGGACTTGAAAAATAATGGAGATAATTTTGATAAAGAGACCACCACAAAGAAGGCTGATCTGAACATCAAAGCATGAAAGGATTTCAGTTCACTGGGTGGGTTGAAGAAACTTCATTATGTTGTGAAACCTGAGTGCATCACAGATCTGGATGGCAAAACCTTAATACATTTTGAGCAACTTAATAATCCATTTGCATTATAGAAGTTACAAATGCCATCAACAATTACTATTTCCACACTTTGAATAATCCATCTCATCAAAGTAAAGGATTCTGTAACATGAACTTATTGAACATTTTGGGGCTTATATGCTATACAACCTCCTTCCTTACACTGGCTCTGATACTGCAAGCTCACATAATGCATATCACCAGGAATGTGTTGATAATCTCCTTCATAGTTGTAACAATCCTCGAAATAATATGTCACAAAAATAGCAATTAATTTTATCACCATTTGGTAATCGGAGGAATTCTTTTTTTTTTGTTTAATTAAAGTTACTTGGCAATTGGTTAAAGAATTATACATATATTATTATTGCTATCATTATTATTTTTATTAAGGAATGTGGATATTATATTGTTATATTATATTGTGGGGAATATAATCATATTATTATCTTTAAATTATGATCATACTTTCTGGGAAGTCTATAAGCTTCCATACAATATATAGATTATATATTTATATTTTAAGTATTGTATTTTATTATTTAACTAGAATTTAATATTTATTAATTAATTAATATTGTTAGTAATGATTAATGGATAGTAATTTCCAATTGATTAATAATGAAATTTTTATTCACCTTTGTTAGCATTTAGAGAAAAGAATTA